ACGGATTGTGCCTCGTAAGCCATTGACCTTGGACTGTTAACTCCCCCAATTGGAACCTTCAAAGCCTATAGCCTTAAATGTCCTGGCAGATATTCATCGTCCAGAAGCCGATCCCCCGCCGTTCGTCTCTGAATGTGATGGCTGTGACGGGGACTACACGGTCTCGGGTGCCGGCGGCGAAGGTAGCTGGTGCAATGGCGAGTACCGCTACGACGGGCGCATGAATTCAAAACCGCTTTTCCAGCAAATTGGAGGGGAATGCATAATCCACCATACGTACCAATGGAAGATCGCCGTTAAAAGCCAATACTTTTGTTATTACATTTCCCCAGGCCTTCCTGAGCCTCCGCTGGGCAAGTGGGAGAACATTCCGTGCGGACTTTGCGGTCGAGATCCGGCGAGAGTTGCACCTTGTGATTCCGTGGCGTGCGACTATGTGGTTTCCGGGGCAGACGGCACTTTTGCCGAGTACAATGGTCAGTACAGACAAACTGGCATTCGGGTGAATGGAAAGCCCGTGTACCAGCTTCAGCAGTCTCCCTTGGAGGACCGATACATCTTCTACTTTTGGAGTTGGAAGATCGGCTTTTTCTATGAACTTGCGTATGGTGGGGTTGTGTATGACTCACCAGCAGAGAGCCTTCCGCCAACTGGCTCCTGGGAACGGCAGAGTTTGCTTGACGAAGAGACTTCAGATCACTTGCAGGTTTCACCTTGCCGCGAGAGGCCCTCGCTGGTCGCTCTGCCGGTCGTACTTGTAGCCTCGCTCGCCACTTGTTGCCTGGCTGTTCGCGAGCACCATCGTCACCAGTGGCAGCAATACTGCAACGGAAGATGTTAGTGTTGCTGGAAGTAACAATGAACAGCCTGATGATGAGATTACGTCATCCGTCCTTTCATGAGAATCTGTGTCTCCCATCAAGTCAGGTCACTGCAGCCGGGTCTAGTCGTTGGACCGTGAACAGGCGTGTGCTTCGACAAGCCTTGAGACCTTCAGCTTGCCTGTAGGATTAAGGTCCAAAACTGATCTTTGAGAACTTCTTTGGGCATGCCGACATGTGTTGGTTGCAGGTACGACGGTAGTATTCGCAAGATCTAAGAGTTCCTTCAACATCTGTTGTCGTCACCAACTTCGCCATCATGATCGTTATCACCACCAACATCATAACCTGTATCACCAGCATCATCGTCACCAGTGGCCGCAATACAACAACAACGCATGTCGCTGACATTGTCATCAGTAAGGAACAGCACATGGCACACGATGAGATTCCGCTAGCCGTCCTTTCATGCAGATCTAATCCTCCAGGCTCGTCGTTGGACTGTGAACCAGAGTGACTATCCAGAGCAGAGTTTCCTCAAAATTTCAACGCTCCAGCTTCTTTAGGTTGACGGGTTTGGGGTTCATATCGTGGCGTCGCAGTGACAGAGCCCGGAGCCCCCAAAGTCAGAGCTGGCTTGCTTGCAGCCGTTTGTGGTGCAAAACGCGATCATCATATAGTTCATTGGGCAGTCCATTCAGTTCGCAATGCTGCGCCCAGATCATCTGTTTCTGCACGACCTGACGAATGCGCATCATCAGGAGCATGGGTTCAGGGTCCGTGTAAACGGCTCCGCAAGTGGTTTTGACATCAGCCGAAGCACAAGTGAGACTCCATAAATCCCAAGTGGCCCAAGTGCAACACCGTCAAACCCTCAGCAACACCTCAGACCTTGAAGCCAGCAGGGGTGTCATTCCCGTTTTGGCGACGTTTGGACAGCTTACTGGGGTTCTGACCCGCCAAAGTTTCTTCCTAGAGCCTTGTTCCTTTGGCTAGGGCGGCGGCAGTCTGGTGATAAGGGACTTTGAGCTTTCAGCGGTCCAGCCGATTTTTTCGACAGCGCAGTTTAGGGAGTTTAGGGTTGAAAAAAGTTAAGGCTAAACCCATCTAAACCCGTTCAGCCCTATGTTCACACCTCCCAGCCAAAATCTGAAGCCGGGAACTGAGGTCCGCAAACAATTTCATAATTTCCGAGTTCGTAGACCATGAACCTCACATCCCAAATGCCCCAACCATGACTGAAAGACTCAGTTGTCAAAGCCTAAACCCGGAACCCTGAACTCCCAAACCCTAAACCCTTAACCCTTAACCCTTAACCCTAAACCCTAAACCCTAAACCCTAAACCCTAAACTTACAGGACCTGTCGCGGAATGTGGAGGAGTTACAGCACGGGCCCGAAAGGCGGAGCAGCGAGCAGCTGCCGACTGCTTCCACGTGCCTTGGGGGCCTCGAGGCCTCCGAATCCTTCGCAGGTTTTAGAGGGGGTTGGGGGTTTAGGGTTCAGGGTTTAGGGTTTAGGGTTTAGGGTTTAGGGTTTAGGGTTCAGGGTTTATGGTTTAGGGTTTTAGAGGGGGTCTAGGGGTTTAGGGTTTGGGGTTTAGGGTTTAGGGTTTTAGAGGGGTTTAGGGTTTAGGGTTTTAGAGGGGGTTAGGGGTTTAGGGTTTGGGGTTTAGGGTTTTAGAGGGGGTTAGGGGTTTAGTGTTTGGGGTTTGGGGTTTAGGGTTTTAGAGGGGGTTTAGGGTTTAGGGTTTGGGGTTTAGGGTTTAGGGTTTGAGAGGGGGTTTAGGGGTTTAGGGTTCAGGGTTCAGGGTTTAGGGTTTAGGGTTTGGGGTTTGAGAGGGGTTTGGGGTTTAGGGTTGCAAGGGTTTAGGAGGCGTTGGTTCGTATTGGATTATTGCTAGAATTTGTGTTTTTGTCGATCTCCTTTGGGGTGCATGGTTTCATGGGGCACAGACTTCACCCAGCATGCCCTGAGGTGGAGAACATGCCCGTGCCACAGATCTGTGCCATGCTGAAGACGGATGCCGAACGCGGCCTTACCGAGGATGCCTTAAACTCCAGATCACAACTTAACCGACCTAACCCTCAAACTCCAATTCCGCCATGAACGTTGAGCCTCTCTGGGGTTTAGGGTTTAAGATCAGAGGATTTTGTCTTCTGGAATTCTGAAGAGAGCTCTTGGATTCATGGTGTTATCACGGCTCAGGCTCCTCATACGAGGGCATGCGAAGCTTTGTGAGAGTGCGAGAAGAAGCTTGTACGAAGCTTTAAAGAAGATGAGTTTGAAAGCAGGCAGGAGGATTAGAAAGTCGCGGGTTACCAAGGGGATACTCTTGTTTGTGTGTGTATATATGGGTGGTTGTCAAAATTATGGTCCCTTTTGGGGTCCGTAATATAGTACGGCACCTAATATTTAGGGTACCCAAAAGGGACCCTAATTTTGACAACCACCCATATATACACATAAATAATGTGGCAGCCACTTCTGCGCACTTTACTAGAAAAAGGTTCAAGTCGACCCTGAAGCCCAATCATGTGCTGGAGCCCGAGGCCGTAGAACTGCCCTCAACTTGTAAAAGCTTGAAGATTCCAACGCCGTAGTCTCATGGTTGAGGCGGCCCCTAGACCATCCGAGCCCATATACCGTGGGTGAGGAGATGGCCCGCGCTCGACTCGCGAAGGACGGCCCGAATCAGCTGCAGCAGCAGCCGAGGCGCGAGATGACGACTTCGAGGTTCTCAAGGGTGTGCAGGGTTTAGGGTTTAGAGCATTGGGGCCTTTCGTGCAGGCTTTAGGACCCTGCCTCGGGGTCCAGGCCTTGTTTAGGGTTCATGTCGGATGTGGGCTTGTATATGAGGTCTTTCAGGCTGTTAGGCAGTTATCGCAAAGGTTGACAGGGTTCACCAGAGGATGTAGGGCATAGCATAGACGGGATTTGGGGTTCAGGTGGGGGGGTTTCGAGAGGGTTCGGGTTGTTAAGGTCCAAGGCTTGGATTTAAGCTTCAGGGTTTGGTGTCTCGAGTCGTTGGGCAAGCACACGCATTTTAAGCAACCGGAATCCTGAGCCAGAGGTAGTCGTGGCGGCACGTTGCAACCATCATGCCTGTCCCGACTTGCACATTTTGGTGGACAGCTGGTTTAGTAGAGTTTAGGCAAATCTGATTCAATCAGGAGATATACAAGCTACTCAAACGACCAGGGGTTTACGAAGCAGTTGAGAGGTAGGAGAACGCCATTTAGTCACATGTGGTATCTTATAATTTCTACTTTGAACTTGTTTGCGAAGTCGCATGATCCTTTGAGTAGGAAGCATGGCTCGATATTGAAGGGATGTGAGATAAAAGGGTGTGTGTGTGTGTGTGCGTGTGTGTGTGTGTGTGTGTTTCTATCTCTGGCATTAAACTGCGAGGTCTGGCAGTTGAGGCAAAGAAAAGAAGGTAGTCTTCAAAGACTGCAGGGTTTCAAGGGTGGCCATGTCCCAGCTGGTGTACATACAGTATTACCGAGCGTGCTCATGACAAACAGTTTTTGTTTTGAGTTTTCAGTGGTTCGGTTTTGTCAGAGGACCGTTCGGCTTCTGAAAGGAATTGAGAGGCTGAGGGTGAGGATTCAAGGGGAGAAGCCCTGAGCTCCAAATAGTGTTCCCACTAACGGGGTTTAGAAAACATTAGCGGCGTTAGATGCAACACCCAACCAACAAAGGCCCAGAACCCGCAGACCGATACAACGTAGCTAAGGCGAGAGACCACGTGTGTTCTAATGGTTTTTGGCCACCGGTCTGGGGTCGAGCATTTGTAGGATCAAGAGGGATGCCCGATATGTGGCCGGAGAACAACTGCATGCTTCGGCGCTTCGAGCTTTGGATACTCTTCCCCTGCAAGTTGTTTCCGATCTGGGGGCCCTAAGACTAAGGTGTTCCGTCATAGTCTTTTGAACATGGGGCTATTCAGGGTTTATGTTAGGGTCCGCAGTTTTCCGAAAATCCCATATCAACCGACGAAGTGCATGGCTTTTGGACGAAGGTTGGGCTTATAGTCAGGTGATTCCATAATCTGACCTCGCCCGGCATCCACACTCATGATGTTCATGGGAGGTAGTAAAGCCTAGCAGAACCCTGCACAGCAGCAATCGGAAGCCGGAGCAATGTTCCACGGAACGGCAAACCCATCAGTCCAACGTGCAACAATCCCAACTTTCAACAGCACTTAACTCTAAACCCAACCCCCTTGTAAGCATAAGCCATGTAACCCTTTATCATCCCTTATCTTGGGTTTAGGGTTTACCCCCTGGTAGGCATAAGCCCTGTAAACCTTTATCCAGAGGCTTGGGTTGGTGATGCTCTTTCTCCTGCAGCTGACCAGCTTCCTGATCCTGCGGTCTTGTTAAACAACTTTGTCTAAGGTACCATGACAAGAAAACCGTATTGCTATGTATATATATATATACACATACATATATACACACATATCTATATCTATATCTATAT